TCATCTGCATGACATTGTCACACACAATATTTTCCCAGATATGAGAAAAGGAGAAACAAGCCTTTTCACACTTGAAGTTGGAAAAAAAACCCCAACAAACAAACAAAAAACTTTGTTGTTTTGGTGTTTTATCCAACCTCAATATGCATAAGCACACACCACTCACAAGGCTGGATTCTGACACCTTTTTTAGAGAAAACGATGAGTCGCCCCAAGGAACACTCTGTGTCTGTCTAGTGTTCCTCTGGTCCTTGGCATCAGCATCAAAAGGAGTAGTCCCCTGGTGATCCTAGATATCTGACAGCAGCACGTGATTTTAAAAGGCAAAAAACATATGGCGCCAGGAAACTCAAATACTACTTTACTACTCATCTTAGAGCAACAAGGCAGTCTACGAACAGCTTAGACCTCCAGCAACAGCCTCCAGGGGCTCTTCTTGCCTGACCTTGGGAAATGCCTCCCCTCTACCCAAATAGGCAGAGAAACAAGAAGAAATCCCTTGGATTAATGACACCTATGGTTTTTATTTCAGACATGCTCCTTGTTCTTAAGGCACCTTGTGATCAATTCTCTGTCGAGTGGCTTTAGTAGGGGTAGCAAGACAAGAAGGAAGGGTATAAGCAGTGGGGATAAGTGAACTCATTTTCCTATACCCTAATTCCCTACAACGTCTTTCAGACGTACCAAGGTTCATGTCTAACCCACCTCACCAGGTCCAGCACGATACCTGACCCACCGCAGGCCATAGATGGAGGTTACATCACACACAGTGACAAGGGGTCAAGTGCATAGGGTAGAGCCACAGAGAAAGGCATGTGGCTGCAATCTCAACTCAGTGCAGAGAAACTCAACTTTCTTAGCAGCTGAAGTTGGGCAACTAAGCTTTCCCTTACATATTTGCATCTCATCTGTTCATGTATTAAATGGGTCCCAAGCATTAAATTGCAGCTAGACTATGTTTGACACCAATAAACCTTCCACAAAAACATGTATTACAGGTCTCCAAAGAGTGTGAGTACATGTAATCAGTACCAGTGGTCTCTGATTCAAACAATTTTAGCTCTCTGTCCACAGCAAAACACATACATTTTAAACTTCTGCTGCTACAATACACCTAAAATAAAAAAACAGAGAAAACAATGGAGAGCTTATGATCTTCTCTGACATAAAAAATGCCCAACAGATTGTTCCCATTATTATAAATAAACAATTATACAAGCTAATTTTTATAGAAGTCCTTAGCTATAGGACTGTGTTTTATCTCTGGCTGAACATGTTAATCTTATTTAGATCTAAATTATATTGAAAACAAAATGGAAAACAATTTTGTGCTTTCACAAAAACAAACCCAAAATGCAAAAGAAGCTTCTTCCTCAGTTTAGCTTACTGAATTTCTGGACACAATTTACAGGGAGAAGAAACACATTTTTAAAAGCCTATCTGAAATCTTCCTTCCACAGAAACAAAGAAGAAATATTCCTTTGCCAGGGATTAATTTCTCTCTTAAGTGCAACTGCATTTTTAATCTATTTTTCTTTCTAGACCCAAGGTCTAGTTCCAAAGGTCTCTTTTTAAAGTAAGAAAGGTTTCCATAACTGCTTCAGCCACCTAGCAGCACTGGATACAAATCCAGGAAATACACCAAACTGAAGAAAGGACACGTAAGATTACTTCTTTGAAACAACTATGGTTTTGATTTTGGACAGGAATGGCTGCTGTTAATTGCTACCCACACAGCCAAGCTACCAGATTTAACAGAAAATGAATAAAGACTGTGTAACCTTCCAAAGAAAAGTCATCACTTGGATGCAATGTGAATACATGAGAAATAGCACACTTGTGTAACATGGGAATTAAAGAAAATAAAAAGAGGAATTATCCTATACAACTGTGAAGCTTCCATTTCCTGCAGATGAAACATTCCTAAAACTATCTTGTGTTCCTAAGAGATACCAGGTACTTCTGGGAAACTGACACACTGAAACACATACCGACCCCTTTCAGTTCCACTGCGTTTGCAGACCTAAGGGCCAGGTGAGCACCAGCCAACCCAAAATACAGCTTGTATGCAGATATGACCAATCATCTTTCTCTATAAATAGTGCACAGCCCCAGGGCCTCACAAAATCACAGAATAGGTCAGGTTGGAAGGGACCATAGCAGGTCACTTGGTCCAACCTCCCTGCTCAAACAGGGCCATGCTAGAGCACGTGGCTCGGGATTGCATCCAGATGGTTCTTGAATAATTCCAGTGATGGAGAATCCACCTCTCTGGGTAATCTGTTCCAGTGTGCAGTGACTCACACAGAAAAGAAGTTCTTCCTCATATTCAGGTGGAACTTCCTGTGCATAAGTTTCTGCTTATTGGTTTGTGCCACTGAGAAGAGCTTGGCTCCATCTGCTTGGCACCCTCCCCTTCAGATACTTGTATACATTAATGGGGTCCCCTCTCAGTTGTCTCTTCTTAAGACTGAACGGGCCCAGCTCCTGTGCCTGTTATACTCTCCTGCATGGCAGTCAGATGTGCACCAGGATCTCCACTTGATGCCTCTTAGGGTTAACTCCTCAAGACTGAGAGATTCCTCACTGTAACAGATTCTTGCTAAGTGCTTAATACCATGCTAAACTTTGAAATCTTAGCTAAGCAAGATACAGGATAGATTGTGCACATTATGTCCTTTATTCTGGCCAAGTCTGGGACTAAGTCTGGATCCAGCCACATGTAAACTCCCCTCAAGAAAGGAGTTTAGAAAGCAAGGAGGTTCTCTCTGAACCTTGTGACTCAGTGGGGGAATCTCCCTGATAGTTTTATCGGACCCTGTCCATTATACAGTAAACAACTAAGTATATCTTGCCATCAAATCTTGTTAAATGATTGTCCCATTTACTATCAAACATTGTTAAATCTCTGGTTTATTTCAACAAACCTATTGCTACTTCTCTCTTACAACTGTCACTCCATCAGCAACATCTAGGAACTTGATAGACAAAGGATGAAAACAAAAGGAGAGCACTGTACCTAAGTTGCTCAGGCCCGATTCAAGTGATGTACAAAGGCCACTACATGGTCCTTCATTTCATCTGAGAGAGGCTAAAGAACAGAATAGCCCTCCCAAAGCTGCTAAATAAAAGAGCATCATGCTCTGACAGATACCAAGCCCTACAGTTCTGTCTCCCTGCAAGGTTGTCCTGTGCTTGCCCTGCTTGAATAAGGCAGTTTTGCAGTTCCTCCCCGTCCCAGGCACATGCACTCTCTCTTTTGAGAAAGGTGTCTATTTTCTCCCCATCTCAGGGGTCAAAGCAGCAACAACTCTGCTCCCTATCTGCTCACCCAGAAAGCCACTGTGCTCCATACAGTGTTCTTTGCATTCCCACTCCACCTGCTCTCAGCTTGGGCTGCTCTACTGTAGATTGACTGCTCTCTCTCTTACCATTTTGACCTGTTAAGTGCTCTGGGGCAGTGAATAAGTAAGCAGAAATAATTAAAAGTAAGCGCTTGAATATGGAGCAAATTGCACAGCATTACAATATACCCAATAGGAAATATGCAGTCCTCCTACAAGAGCAAAATCTTTGGTATTAACTACCCCAAAATAATTTTGTCAGTCATTCCCTTTCAATAGAAGGAATGGACCAAGTAGAGGTGCTTTACCTGGAGGATTTAAGAATAAAACTCAGAACTCTACTAGAATCACCATGCAAACAGCCATTTTGTGTCCCTGCAAAGAGGTATCAAAATGTACATACAGCAGTATTCTTAGAAAAGAGAATGATTTCAAGTTAAAAGTATTAAAATAAACAACAGTTACAGATAAATATATTTTAAAATTCATCTCTGAAGGAGTAACTTCATCCCTGTTCAACTCTGCCAGTACTTGAACAGAAGGTGATCACCCATACCATCACTAGTCACAAGAACATGCCAAGGAACTTCATCCTTTCCCATGTAGTCAGGGTTGCTGATTCTAGTTCACAGAAAAGACTGGTTAAATCCCACACCTTTCAAGTTTCTGAGCAGAGATGTTCTTTTCCAGCAATACCTTTACAACAGCAATAGCAGCTGACAAGCTACATTTCTCTGGGGAGCCTTTTCCTTGCTACATATGGTTGCAACACCAGCGAACCAATACGCTGCTACTAAGAAACATTTCCTGTATATTTATTGGTTGCAGTCCTACTATTTTGTGTTGATTCAGCACAGCGGTAAGGAATTCCTCCTGCTTCACATATAGATTATTGAAAAAACTTTAGGCAGTCACTGAAGTTTTAATCATCTACATATGCCTACAATCAACAGCTACATCTAATTCTTGCAGGAAAACCTTATGGACTACTAGGTGTGCACCCTCTCCCTGCCCCCAGTTCCAACATGAGCCGTGACTGCCATTTGGGCCAGTCATTAGCCACTGCAGCACAGGCTGCTGCTGGCCACCTGCACCCCCACTCACTGGCGTCAGTGAAGGAAGCACTGACTGCTGGTGACAAGTACTGGTGGCAGGTGATGGGGTTACCTGTGGCCAAGAGACAAGCCAGCTGTGCTTTTGGCCCATTGCAGTTGACAGCTGCCCTCTAGTGATGCAAATGCAGCAGGAGAGTTGGAAGAGTTATTCACAAAACAGTAACATTATTTTCACTTCATTTCGTACCAGCACAACCAATCGGAACCACGACCACCTGACCCTGGGCTTCTGGGCACTTACTGGCTGTGATACAGAGGCTCAGCCTGATACCTGCCAGAGCAGACCTCCCAGAGCTTTAGAGAAAGAGCAGCTGTCTGGCAACAACCAGGCAGGCACAGGTACCTTTCTCCACTGGGACAGTGGGGAAGAAGGGTGTGGGGAGAAACCAGTTCATGTCTGAAGAAGAGCCGGCAGAATTGTGCCTCGGTTCTGTCACACAGCAGTGCCCATCAGGCGGTACCAGGGCCGGGTGGCAGCCTGCTACACTCACCACTACCTGCCTGCCATCCCTGCCTCTTCCCTTTTCTTCAGCTAGTGTAATAGACGTGAAAGAACAGAGTCTTATTGCGGAGGAGAGAGTAGGAGTTGTCAAACTTGAGCAGGTAGATGCCCTCGCCCGGGTACTCGTGGCTGCCTGCCTGCACCTCCCGGTGGCTGTTCCTCCGGTACACAGGCATGATCTCCCCGTAGCGGTTCCGCAGATAGCTTTTGCAGCCCCTTTCCACATCACCAACAGGGGAGAGTCCTAATGGGAGAGAGAAGACAAGCGGCTCAGAAGCAGTTAAGCCACTACATAGCCCATAAAAAGATCAACAAGACCAGAATGCAGCACAGGCATGCAGATATATGGAAGGCTAACTGTGATTGCATTACCCACAGTGTCTCCTCTGACCTTTCTGCAAATAATTCCCACAAAGTCTGGTTTACCTTATAACAAAGGACTTACCAAGACTCACTTCTCTTGGGAATACTGATGGGACAGCATTCACCTGCTTGCCAACAAGGTGTCCCTGAACTTACCTTCTAGACTGCTTTTATACAAACAACAGCAGTGCAGTGATACAGACTTAAAGCAAAGAAAGGCAGGAAAGCTCTTAGCTATAACCTCACTGTGTTTACGTCTTCAATTCAATTCTCCAAGAGGATTCCTCATACAGAAACCTACCTCTCTTTGGAGGCCCTGCAAAATTAATTCAGACACCAATCCCCCAGCTACACTGGTCACACATACACTAAAGCCACAGAACAGGCAGCATTGCTGTGTGTTCACAAGTACAAAGACACAGGTAGTATCCCTTTCAAATGCAGTCAGCAGGAGCTACTGAGGTACTAGAGGGGGAAGGGGGACACACGACATGACCAAAAAACCAACAAAAAAAAAAAAATCAAAACACACACCAAACCACAAGAACAACAAAAAAAACAAACCACCCCAAAAAAATTCTCCCCCCCAAAAAATGCCAAAATGAGAAATTAAATCTTTTTGCCTCCACTCACCACCAGAAATTTCTCAGTCTGAGAATCTAAGAAAAAGAGTCAGGTTAAAATTTCAGACCCTAATCTTTTTGTCAGCTAGAAATGGTCTACGTGAATTCTGACTTAATTTTTCAGCATGTTCAGTTTTAAGAATGATCTTGGAGAGGACAGCCACTGAAATATGCTGAAGCAGGAAGGGCTAAATGCTTTCTTATCACAGTCCAACCAAGAACCCAAGAGGCTGCAGAGATAGCAAATGGGCTGAGTAAACAGAGTACATAGAAACTGCAGCATCTGACAGACACTCTCAGCAGCATGGCAACAAGCACCACAAATTAACCCTTATAAGATCTGCACTAACCATCAATTTCCTCCTCCTCCTCTTCATCCTCCTCATCACTGGATTCGCTGACCTGAACAGTAATGGCAGTGCTAGTAACTGTGGTCCAGTCAAAATAGACTCCAAACCCAATGTCGTAGTCATCTGTAGCAAACTCCCAACAAATGCATTTCCCATCAGGATGGGTTGGCACACGGACTGTCACCACCTCGCCTCGCTTCACCACCATCCGGCCATTCTTCTCCTTTCCTATCTTGGCTTTGAATTCCTTCATCTTCTCAGTGGTCCACATGGTGGGTGCAGCCAGAGGGGGAGGCTGAGCTG